ACCTTACAAAAATTAAAAGATGCAACTCATAAAGTAAGCCCCTTGTCCACACCCTGGCTGTCCTGTCATATCTGACTTTTACCCCCCTCACCCTTCTGCCTTCTCTCAATGACGTGCGCATGGCCAATGAGGCGCTCTCAATTGGACACACCAACATAATGTGCCAGTTCTCATGCTCGCTATGGAGTTAAAAAAAATGAATAAAAATAAACAATTCCCCACTCTCCGCTCTTCCACCCATCCCAGGGTAATACGCACACACTCACAGCAGACAGCAAGGCACTCTAAACTAGCCACACCAGTGGACTATCCGAAGGGAAGATGCATTTTTCGGCTGTAGGCATGCACATGGCAATTGCGCTCCATAACCACTGATGAGAGAGAAGGTGCAAAGGCTGGGAGAAAAAAAAAAAACAAAACAAGTCTTGAAGTTCTTGTACAGCGGGAGAGGAGCGCCTCGTACATCTTCACCGGGTCCCGTTTTAACAAAGCACCCTCACTCCTTGAATTACTTTACAGAAAGAAAAAAAGAAAAAAAAAAAGAAAAAAAGGTTATACCGTATTGGCCCGAATATAAGACGGTGTGTTTTGCATTGAAATAAGACTGACTGGGGGGTCTTCTTATATTCGGGGTCTAGACATTATGCCCATTCACGACGCTAGATGGTGCCAGATGTCATTGAAGCGGATGCTGAACTTGACTCCCGAGCCCAAAGTGAACCCCTGTCACGAAAAATAAAAATAAAAATAGCGGTAGCACGAAGAAGAAAAATAAAAAATAGCGGTAAGAAGGAAAAGAGAAGAAAATAATAGAAGAGATAACAGAAAATGGAGAAACGTAGCGACAATCTGGAGAAAAGTGGGTCGAACATCGGCCAGGTTAACCGGCCTTTTAGGAGAAGTTATGATGTCATTTACATTTCAAAAACCAGAAGCCATTCATCTATGAATGTGATTGCACTTTAGTTTACATATTTAAATGTTCAGATATTAAGATTTGAATGAGGCAAAATAACATGCTTTTTCTCTCAAATATATTGTTATAATCATTTGTTTCAGATGTACTGTAATTATTTTCTGCATAAATATTAATTTGGTGTTCAAAAAGTCTTTTTTCAAACTTGAGTCTTGAAAAAGAGGGGGTCGTCTTATAATCAGGGCCGTCTTATATTCGGGCCGATACGGTATTTCAGTTTTCTTCAATGTATTTATTTTTGTGAGAACTGCTAAATCTCTGTCCTGGTGACAATCATTTTCTGGCGGCAGTAAACTACTATTCCCATCCACAACGATTGATCAGCGTGGGCGGAACGATCCAAATTTCCATATTATCTATGCACGGAGTCCTGGGTTTATGATAACAGGATGTTACAATGAATGACTTTCGACAAATCAGGTTTTGAAATGAGGCGTCTTGCTCAAGGGCATCTCAGCAATGACAGCCTTTTGCCCGTCAGAGGGAATCAAAGCTAAGGCCACAAATATTTTTAGCACTAGTCCAAAGTCTGCTCTGCCGAGCAATAGCAAGATGGCAGACAGGCAACCCGTGCGCAAGGTCAAACCAAAGATGGTGCGTGGGGCAGCTCGGGGGCCCGATGCCTTCCTGGCGTGCCGCCTTGCAGTGATTGTTTTCCGATAAAAAGTCATTTCTATTTGCTGCACTCCCTCGCAAGCTGTGGAGGCATTCAAATCGGAGGTCAACGGGGAACTGAAGGGGCTCTGATAACAACAATCCCATCTCTGATCCCGCGCTCGTCTGAGCGTTGGCTTTTCGAGGGGCTTTAAAGCCAAACGAGAAGCCGAGAAGGTTTTCATGTGGGAATGACAAGCCGCACCGGGCACGTCTCATTTATTGCCGCCCCTCACGCGCGCTGCCAACACAGCGAATGAGCCTTCTTGTGAATTATTTAGAATTCTGTCATGCGGAGGCGGCGACCAGCACAAGGAAAAAACTGGACCATTCTGTGTTGTGTGCTCTCTGCGTGAGTACCCGAAAAGTGCATCAAATTTGAAAGCTCAACAGGAGGTATATGTTTTCCTGAGTTGACGCCGTACACCACAGAAAGCCGTAAGGTCTAAGGGTCGACACAAAACCATTTTCAATCGAGAAAAGTGTTTCTGGAGTTCCTAACCAACCACAGGCTTGAAATGACACAACTAAGAAAATGTGCCTTAAAGCAGCCATATCAAGCTAAATTAACTTTTTGCGCTTTTTCCACATGTTCAAAGTGCCCTTTGACAAGAAGGACTGGCTGACAATGGAGAAAAAATGTTTTTTTCCGTGACAGAAAGAAAACCTTTGCAGTTCTTGGTGCGTACGCTCAAAATGTCTGCCACTTGCAAGCAGGCAAAGAGCATCTCATCGAAATGCTTGCTGAGATTGCGCCCAACGGATCCCGCCTTTCAAGAAGCAAACTGGTTTCCGTGCCGACATCATGGAAAGCCAACCACGCCCATTGCAATAAACATACTCAACGGCATCAAGCAGTTGTGTTTTTTTTTTTTTTTTCCCAGAGCTGACGTGTCTAAGTTTGGCAATGCAAGACACGCGCAAATTAAAAGCCACATTCAACGTTTGATTGACTGGCAAAAAGTAATATTGCTTTGATGCAATGGCAGCGGGGGAAAATTCGGATCATAACTTGAGCATGTTTCCTCTCCATTTCTCCCTCTCTCTCTTTTGCTTCACTTTATCTCCTTCCTAAGTCGGTCATTTTGTCATCATTTCAGAAGGCGCTGAATGGAAAAACGGTCCCCACAAAATAGCTCGCGGACGCCCCAGACCTCCCTGGATCATTAGTCTCCCCAATCTATTTTGTTTTTCTTTTGGCTCAGACTCATACCCTAACTTTAATTATTTCATGATCGATAATGAATTAAGCTGGATCTACCAGGGTTTTAATTGAAATGACTACATTGGTAAGATTAAGGCTCAGTCATCGCAAGCTTCAAACATCACTTTGTAAAGTTTCGCCTGTGTTCAACTCAAAAATGAGCCCAAACAAACAAACAAACAAACAAACAAACGTGAGTGACCAGATATCCTTTTTGAAGAGTATTTATACATTTGTGACCTTTGTAAAAAAAGGAAGGCCAGAATTTTTTAATCTACAATGATTTAATGGGGGTGGGGGGGTTCACTTTACTGCGACTTGCACCTTGTTAAATGCTCTCCTTTCACGCAGTCTGACTTTGAACGCATTTTACCTCACCTTGACCACATAACCAATAAAACAGTGTCCGGTCGTGATTTTAATTGTAACCGCTTCTGCATGTATTATTCCGCTCTTGTCTGACTTGAGTTCCTACGGTAAAGTTAAAAAAACAAAAAAAGTGTGTTATGTTTTGAGAAAAACATTTCAATCGAGGGTGGTGGAGGCGCACAGAGGTGCATGCTGCCTTTTTAAGATTCTACCGCAGCGCGCCGCATTTAAAAGGATGCGATGGACCACCTTGATCGGCCATGATCGGAGCCAGATGTGACCGCTCCCACAGCGGCGCACACCTCCCTCTCTTACATCTGCCGGCCTTGCGCGCATCAGTCTTCGTGCATGCTTTCAGCAGAAGTGTATTTAAAAATCATGAATTCATTTGATATGATCTTTAAGAAGCTACTGTGAAGTTTCATGATCCGGCTTTGGCCTGCCTCACCTCATGCAACCCAGGAGAACATTGTCAATCTAAAAGTGGCAAACCGAGCGGGGGCTGCATACTTTTGAATATAATGGTCCCTTTCCAGTGTGAAGACACAACGCAGATCCTCAGAATGACTTTGACATCAGGAACGAGTGCCAGTGTGAGACTTTCTTTTAGAAACGAGTGTAAACAACCTCTGTTGGCTGTCGTCATAGCAACAGCCAGCCTCCCCGTGAACCACATCTTTTGTCGCGTGCAGACTATTTAAATCTTTTCTGACAGAGCCTTCTAACTCGTCCACTTTCAATGGAAGAGATGACGAGAACACACACACAAATCATTGCTCCAGCAGCCACCAAAGTTCCTCGTCATCCATCAAGCGCCAAGTCTAGTCCTCAAAAGCAGCGGAACAAAGTGCGGGCGGAACGCGTTTAACCTCAGCTTGCAGGTGAGAGCGCAGTCGAGTCAACGACTCAGAGGACGAATGCGCCGGGCGTCTCACATTCATCATCAAGTGCGAGGGAACGTTTTGAAAAAGGGGAGGAACACGATAAGGATGACTTGTCATTCTAGAGGAGAAAGGGTCACTTGATACATTGTTGAATATATATTTGCCTCCTTTCAACATTTGTAGGATTACAAACTATTTTGGATGAAAAACTGTTGAGGAAAATTGAATGATAGAGTGTCATAATACAATTATGCAACCAATAATGGAACGAATAATTATGATCGTAATCATATGACACACTTGTAAAATGATTATGTCCAGGTATTGCGATATGAATACCGGTAATAGTATCTCATGTCATTTATTAGCTATAATAATTACAAATTAGTGATGTCATTGTTTTTTAACAAAATACACAATTTAATTGCCAAAGTAAAAAAAAAAAAAAAAACGAAACAAGACTAACTATAAACCGGAAATGTGTCTGTGTTGGAGGTGTCAATCGGTGGCATGATTATGAAAAAGAATTGAAAATCTGTGGTTGACTTACCGTGTTCAAAATCAGGTTGAAAACACAATTACAACAAAATACGAATCATGTATGAACCCCCCCCGAAAAACAAACATGAAAACGTTGGGACTTTTGGTCATGAGCTTGTCCGTTTTGATGAAAATGGCGCATTTATTCATTTGGTAGAGGATTTTATTCATTTTCGTGATAATTCCCATTTGGTTTGTGTTCAGGTCTTGCGGTTGGTCTCACTGAAGTTTGGCTTCTGTTTTTGTAAGATGAGTTAACGACTGACTGAAATAAACAAACTACGATTGATAAAATGAAAAAAAAAATCGGACAAATAGACACAGTCACTTGGATACAAAATATGATAAAATAGAAAAGTGAAAATGTTGTTACCTGCGCATCCATGAGCAGGTGTCTCATGAGGGTCATGGATTTGGTAAAGGGGTCCCCGTCCTGCTCTCTGGTCAGGAAGTGATGCTCGTCATCACTCGGGCTCCACGGCCGGCTCAACATGAACTGGGCGATCTGGTCGTTGAGGCTGTTGAGCGACTGGACGGCTGCGTGCGGGGAAAAGACAAAGTCATTTACAGCACCAACGTCTTCTCATCATCTCTCGCACGCTGAGCGTTTGGTTTGTCTGCATGCTAATGAGAATCCTCTCGATGAAGTCGCTGTGATTCTTCCTCAGCGAATGAAATTCTCGTTTTGGACAACAAGGGGGAACACATTAGGACAAATCCATTAGCCAGACACAGAAACCCACATTTGCTCAATTATGTGATATGATTCTTCCCGGGGACCGCCGCCATCATAATGCCATTTTATGTCTTGTTGCAGTTAATGGCCGTTACAGCACTGTTTTGCACCACTTTGTCTCGCTGGGTTTGTGCAAAGTGGGTCTTTTTTGTGGCGTCAGACATTGTGGAAGAATTGTCTTTTCAACGGAAAGTCACGTTTCACCGCAGGGACGCGTGCACAAAAGTCAGCGCGAGATCATCAGAGCGAGCGAACATGCTGCCCTTAAACAGAACGTATCTACTTTTTCAATCAATTACTTAATTAAAACGGATATTGTGTGTGTGTGTGTGTGTGTGTGTGTGTGTGTGTGTGTGTGTGTCTTTGTGATGCAAAAAGTTAAGTTTCACAGTATTAAGAAGGGAAAAAAAGGAATGTGGGTTTTACAGGATTAATCAGCAGCAATACACTCGTGGTGTCTGCATGAATGAAGCGGTGTTGTAATCCCACAACAATGTTTTCACTGCAGGGAGGCGTGCATTGCATGTTAATGAACAATAATTTGTACTAGAGCTGGGCAATATGACGGTATATAGTGCAAAGACGATAGGAAAGTGCTTATCGTGTCACTTTGGTGCTATCTATAAATTTGAAAAAAATAAAAGGGCAAGGCATGCTGGATGCTACTTAACCACACAACGCTCAAAATGTTTTGCAATGCGGCTTCCGAGTCTAAATTTACATTTTGATCTTGATCAAAGCATAAAGAAACAGCAACATTGAGCTTCACAAATGTTTACGTTTTTCCTACAATTGAACGACGGAGAGGCATGTGCGGGTAGTCTACTCTGCAGGTCGCGGTGAGATCAGTGCTACTTGGCTACTTAGGCTGCAGCAGCTTGCTGGCAATGAGCTTCGGCTAGCTACTACCGCTCGTAAACATGTTGCAATTTTTTTTCCCTATGTCTGTAATCACAATCTCCATTATGGCGAATAAGATACACTTCTTACAAATGTCCTTCCCACAAAAAGATTAAGAGGCGAAATTAACAAAAGGGAAAGACAGAGAAGCTATGCTACTTGCTAAGCTAACGTAATATGATCGATCGTGAAAGACCGAATTAAGTGCTTGGGTGCACTTCAAAGGGGTCTCGCTGGAACCACGTCAAAGCGGAGCATAATCCACTTTGAACAGCAAATCTCAGGCAATTTAATAATTGTCTGGAAATAAAAACAATACAACATAATGCTACACACACTGCTATCCAGGAAACAGTGGTTATGGTTGTCACGGCATCCCCCATGTCAGCTGAGAGGGGTGGCCTAGAAGATGAAAAGTGTATTCTATTGACGATAAGCGATTCAGAAATGAATGCATATGGTATACTGAATATTGTTATATAATAAAATAATATTAGTAATATGATTTGTTTTCACAATACAGCTCTCTGTGGTTTGATTTTGAGATCTGCACTATAAATGTTCTGAAAAGTCCCTGAAGAAATTTGTAAAACTCACACACACTTTTTTTCCCGATACCTTCAAATCCCTGCCCGCAGTGTATTGTCAGGCGGTAAAATTATTAAAAGGGCCAACAATATATTAGCAGCTTTAGACTCGCAGAATACAACAGCCAAGGTTAACTTTTCACCACAAGCATCAAAGATTTACGAGCACTCCTCGCCAGCCTTGTCTGGTATTCCAGCAACGACTTTTTACGAGGGCGCGACGGCCCCGCAGCTAGCAGGCATCAAATCAGCCAGCGATAAAGGTGGATAAAATGTTTATGACAAGAGACTGACAAGTGAATTTAAATCTCGCCTTCAATGTTTACAAGGTGCGCACATCTGGCCCTGTCGATGTGCGGTTGGGGGCAGGAGGGGTCAAACAAGACGCTGCCGCGGAAAAGGCGACAGGCAATCGAATTGTGAGAGCGGATACGCCCTCTTCTCTTCCACTTCTGATCCAATTTATCATTTCACAATCAAAACTGTGACACTTCAAAGTGAAAGGATGACATCATACGGTCAGGGTTTGGGAGTGAGTGCTCAGGTTGGGGGAATGGAGTTCGGTCAGGGTTTGGGCAAAAGAACAAAGTGCGGTTACAGTTCAATTGTTTGGGTCGAATGAACAATCTCAGGCCACATCTGTTAGGGTTAGGGGGTGATAGTCGGGTTCGGGGATTTGAAGGTTAGGGTGTTCGCGTTAAGAGACAAAAGTACAATCTCAGTCAAAGCCAGTCATGATATTTGGGATTTTGGGAGTGCGGTTCGGGTTGGGTTTCGGTCTGGGCAATGGGGTCTAACAAATAATTTCAGCCCACATTGGTTAGGGTTAGCCTATTAGAGTTAAGATGTTATAGTTGGGTTCAGGGATTACATTTGTTTTGGGGGTTAGGGTCGAATAAGAATTTCAATCCACTAGTGAGGGTAAAAAGGAACCCTCGCGGCAATTACATTTGCTCAATATGATTTATTTGGTTGTTAGTAACAGAACTTTAAGATCGAAAATCATTTCCAGTTGAATACATTGTGTAGAAACTTTATTTGCCCGTACGCCGCCATTGTTACGATGCATTCTGGGTAGTGACGTAGAATGGTTGCTGGCCATATTGCTGCTCTCTGCTAAGCAAAGCAAAACAAATGAGAACTCCTATTATCATCGGCGAACAGGAGTCAAAATGCCACACCGCGCGTGGCTTTTTGAATGTGATTTTCAATCAAAGGGGAAGTTAAAAAAAAAAAAAAAAAGTGAGATAAGCCTCCAAAGCTTTCCTGAGCAAAGGAAGTTAAGAAAACCGTGGGAGGACACGGTTGGAAGAGTCCGCCTGCCCAAAGACCTCCGGCTGTGCTCTCCTCGTGTGTCTGGCTATCGACGAGGGTTAAAATAAAATGCAGTGCCGACCATATTTCCTCACAAGGAGCCTCAACGCCCACGTGCGTTGTGTGAAAACGTGGTAATAGACACACAAAGATATGAGGCGGACACGCACCGGAACCATGCTTCTTCGGTAGCTGCAGTTGTGGACGACCCCCGGCCACTGACTCAAATTCGCAATGGAGGAAACAAACAACGCTAAATGCCGGTCAAGCAGCCTGACATCTGTAAGTCTACAACGTTTACCGCTTCTTTTTCTCAGTCGGCATCGGGAAATAGCTGCTCCTAAGACACCACCGAAAATGACCAATTCTGTGTGTGTTTAGAACGATTTTCACTCAAAATACAGGCAACAGTGTGTGTTGAGTTCTGTGACATCAGTACCCAATTTCTGGTTTATATACAACGATATTCCACCACCGCCTTTTGACTTCCCAACAGTTCCGTGACAGAGTGTGGCATTCTGACTCCTTTTCGTGCATGCGAGTAGTAGTTCGCATTTGTTTGGCTTAGCTCGGCAGAGAGCAGCAACCATTCTACGTCACTACCCAGAATGCATTGTGACAAAAGCGGTGTACATGCAAATAAAGTTTCTACTTTAAACTGGAAATTATTTTCAAAAATGTGATCTTATAGTTGAGATGAACAATCAAAAAGATCATGTAGAGCAAACATGCCATTACAGTCAGGGATCCTTTGAAGGCGTGACAGATGCATGTTAGGGTCAAAAGGACGATGTCACTCCACAACATTTGGGGTTAGGGTCAATCACAATACTGGACCAAAGAGAAGAGGGGAATCACACGTGTCAACTGATGGCGAGGTGAGGGCAGATGCCATAGGTGAACATAAACAAAAGAATGAACAAAATCCACCAAGCAACACAATAATCAATCAATAAAAAGTACTGGAGATATTTGTAAATGGTATACTGTCATCTCCTTTCTGAAACATTCATCAAGCACATTCAACATTACTCTTTCACAGCAATTAACAACAAGAACAAAGCTCTGAATCCTGGTGAGCCTTCAAAAGGGATGCCACAGGGCTCCTAAGTAAGGCATAGTCACTTCTTAAAACAATACGACATACTTTGGTTGGATTATTAGACTGGGTGAAGATTGCTGTCTGCAATAAGTACTTTGCAAATAACAACTTGGTATAACTTACCCAACAATGTTAGAAATAGGGGTACTGTCTGGAGCCATTCGAGGTAAAAACTACCCATATGCACCCCCAAAAAATTCCAGAAGCAAAAAGCTACAGATGCTGCACGTTTGGCCTCGCATTCCATGTGAAATGTGCACAGCCCAGTACATTCTTTGAAGACAACCACGGGAGCAAAGTTACATCAACAATGAGCTCTAATGGGGCATGTGAGCCCATACCAGTCTCGGGAAGAAGCAATAGAATGTATATAAGAAAACAAAGAACGATCAGGAGTGTGTTTATAAAAGTCCAAAACACCCACGATTATGCTGTCCAACATAAAACTGCATTAAAAAGTCGCTCTTTGCCTCAGTATGCTTGGGGCACCATCACTTCTGTGTCAGATAGCCTCTGCCAAGGCAATTTGACGAGGTTCCAAGAGCTCCATTTGGAGCCAAAAGGTCCAGAAGTGTGGGAATGAACAATATGAGGCAATCGCACACCAGAGCGCTGAGCTTCATTTCCAAGATGATGGTGCCAGAACAAATACCCTGTGCAGTTTTAGCAAGGCCAAAAGGAGTCCACACTGGACTGCAACCAGAGCAATAACACCACCTTGAACTGTCACATGCGAAAAGATGGACTTTTAATGTGGGGTGGGTTGAAAGTATCAATTAGGGCTCAACAATGTTGGCTCTTTGCGAAAGCCTGCAGCACGGTTGGCCACACCGTTGTGCAGCAACACCAGCATGTGGGTCCAATTTAACAAATCCTCTTGAGTAATTGGACACGTCAC